GTGCAGCTTCCTCTGCGCTGCAATCTCGGCCCGGCCTGCGGGGAGCTAGCTCGCCTTTCTGGACTTGCAGCTTCCGAAATAATTAGTTGGTGTGCGTGTGTGTGTGTGCGCGTTGCGTGGAAGGGGGCGCCGGGGCCGCCCCCTATCAAGCTCCGGGTGGGAAGCACAGGTGGCACCCGAGGGTGTCGCCTGCTGCAAAATAAAAGAAATCCAACGTTCCGCTGAAGTGCTGCCTAACACATACGGTGTTTGGGGTTTTTCTTCAAAGCTTCTTCCTCTCTTGTCCCCCACCCCCTCGTACCACAACTAACAGCTTCCGAGTTTCCTGATGGAACCGCATCCTGAAGTCGCTGATTTCTGACAACCCCCAATCCTACCACTACCACTTGGTTAGAGAGGTATGGTCTGGAGGGCTTTCTTTTTGCCTGGAGTCTGCCTTCGGAAAGGACGCAGGACCCGATGGTGCTGGTCCCGGGAAGGAACCCACACCGTGCAGGAAGTGCTTTTGAAAGTCATCCTCACTCTGGCCCTGGCCCTCCGGGAATCCGGGGCCTCTGGATGCCAGTCCTTCTTCCTGTCTGGTCGGGTGACTGCCCCAAGGCCCTCCGCCTCCCAACCCCTGCAGTGCCTGGTGGCCCAGCGTGGCCATTTGGAACTCCTGGATCTGGGGAGCCGGTGACTGGGTCTCTAGCAACAATAAGTAAATCCCTGGGGAGAGTCTGCTGTAAGGTGCTTTGAGATGGAAAAAGAGCTATTTGCATAGTAATGATTTTAGACCTTTCAACTGAGTTGTAATGTGTTTCTTTTCCTTAGCTGGTTTGTCTGCTGGGAAATCTCCCAGAAGACTGGAATTGCGTCCCTGGATTTTTTTGAGAAGCTTTAAATAATGTTCGTTTCATTGGGTGGGGGCTCGCAGAGAGCCATCTCATCAATGTTCATATTTAGGCAAAACCCAGAATGGAATTATCCATGTAATAATTCCATTGACTTCTTGAGCAGGGATACAGTTAAAGCTGTTACCTGAGGAGCAAGGGGAAACTGGAGGGCGTTTTTAGGGGGTCTTGGTTCCATATTTAATGCTTTGGATATTATACATCTTGCCATCAGATAGTTTTAGGTAATTACATCTAATGGTAGAAAATGTGAAAGTCTAGATATATCTGTTCAAATTTTAAGTCTACATTTAGCGTATAATTATACACTCTTGTAACGATACCCAAATGTATCATCCAAACCAAACTACCCTGGTCTTCCCGGATTGCCACATCCACTAAATCCTAAATTGAAAAGGGTAAGCTTCCCACCTTCCTATTTATATCTTAAAAACAAAAACAAAAAAACCCTTTACATTCACACACACAGTCAGATCCCTGTATGTGAGAAAAACTAGTGGAGCTAGGAACCTTTCAAAATTGGAACAATTTTGAATTTTGGTCCAAGAACCTAAAGTTAAAGAGGATTCCAGCCAAGCCTTTACATTGGGTTATTTAGGCACAGAAACTCTGGACCAAAGAGAAATAGTACCAAAGGCAGCACCAGCAACCAGCTGCAGTCTCTGACCTCTGCTGGCCACCATCCACTGCCAAGAGTGGGGGTTGTTTGGGGCATGTTGAGTCACTCTTTCCATCTTTTATGTAAATATCTGGGTTGCTGCTATGCATCTCCGTACCAGTCAACTTTTTTTTTTAAGAGAAAAGTAATGGAAGGATATGCTTGACCGAAAAGGTGTTCTTCGGTATGTTAATATAGTCTTTGAGGAGAGTCCAGCTGCAAGTTTTGAATTTGAAGAAAGCTGCAGCCTCTGGTTTTGGTGCTTCTGAATCCTGATATTTTTAATACTGCGGAAAAATGTATGTCAAATATCAGGCACAAGTGAACTCTGAATTGCTTTCATCTGATTTTTATAATGGCAGAAAGGTAGATTTGAGTCTCTTCAAAGGCTGCTTTTAAAACGGCAAACCTCAGCTATGTCTGTCTGCAGTGGAGGATGTAAATCTCACAGGGGTTTCATTTACGCCCCAACAATCTGTAACCTTTATGGTAGTGCTTTACAGATCACCACCTCCACCCAGTCCTTCTGGGAATCACCTAAGTCACGCTTGAGTTCCTACATCGCATTCGCTTGGAGGAAACATTTCCTGCTGGTGTGCACATATCACGTGAGAAGGCACTGGGAGAAGTATGTTCAGTCTGCATTTCATACATATTTGCTAAGCACCTACTACTCTCATGCAAAGAATTTTCTTCCCCTCAAGGAATTTTCATATTTAAAAAGAAAGAGAAAATATTGCCGTCAACAAATAATCTTATTAGTAGGTATTTGTTTATTGGGTATTGGGCTGACTGATAGAATTTAAGATCCATCTGTGTGTGGATGTGTGTGTATATTCATCCATGTGTGAGAGCTACTTCTTAGCTAGCTATGAAAAGTAAGAATGCAGCCCTAAGCGAGGGCACAAGCTGATGTTCTGCCAGGCTTTATAAATATCTACTAGGGAGCAGGCGAGCTGGAGCTGGAAGGTGGTTTCTCTATGTTCTTCCCGGGCCCTACAGTTGCCAGATGTTTCCAGCTGTTCTAGTCAAGAAACTTAGCTATCTGTGGATAGTTCCACTTCGAGAGCACTGTAGGTGATGTTATAGTAGAAAGTTTAGTAAGGAGCCTCTACATACTCATCAGTAACAGTTGCTTGTTCTCTGTGTATGACACAGGACGGGATGCTGCGCACAATACATGGGCATGGCCAGCAGCCACAACCTTGTACACCTACCCACTTCTGCTCCCGCCTGTGGGCGGTCAGTTGTATTTATTCTCAAATTTGATTACTCCTCTTAACAACTGTCATTAAGAACTTGAATCGAACTTGAATCAAATATTATGAAATGGATTATTAGATTAATAAAACATGAGTGTATGCAAGCAAAAAGACAATTCTAATAAAAACTAAGTTGAATGCTTTGAAAGAATGAATGACAAAAAAAATTGTTGCATTAGTGGTGGGTGTGATGATTGTAAAACAAGGGGTGGGAGAGCCTTCAACTCTACAAGAATTAACTCTGCACATATCTATTCGTTCTCACTTTGCTTTAGAAAAAGGAAAACGACAGACGGTGCAACTTGTGAGAACAAGAAAGAGGACAGTAGAGCCACACTTAGAAGAGTAAGGCCCTAGCATCAA